AAGTTTGTAGGAGCTTTGGGAGCCACCCAGAAGGGTACCAAAAGTCCTTGGGTATGGGCAAGGTTGGGTAATGCCTCACTGAGACTGATGGCGTAATATTTCCTGGGAGTGAGAGCTCTCCAACGACACCAGAAACGGATCCTTCCTTTCCATCTGTGAATATCCAAGCTTTCCAGCTGAGTGAGAAAAATAGTCATGACAAACAGGAATAGGAAAAGGAAATTGTAGAGGGATTCAAGAGAGGAAGAAGACACTTTTGCCCATGTATTTTGATTTTGCTTCACTACAAAATTAAAGCCTTGTTTCAATATGGTTTTAATTTCATAGGCCTTGGTTTAGATCCTACTCTTCTGTACACTGCACTTCCTCATGGAGCAGCCCCATTAGCAAACTACATTTATGCTAATGGACCTGCTTGCAGTGATAATTATCACAGCCCTTGGCCCTGGTCCTGGCCAGGGTCAGTGCATCAGGAGGGACTGGAAGGGCAGCATAATTACACAATTAGCCTTGTCATGGCAAGGAGCTCTGGGAACAGAGACATCTTGAAGCTTAAAATGTGGACAGCTGATGGATGACTGTCATTAAGCTCCTTTGCTCACTCCAGGATGGAACAGCCATTGAGCTATAGGGTAGGCTTCTTTAATGAAAGACCTTGAACCACAGCCACTGTCCTCCACCTTTTCCCAGCCTGTCCAGTTACCCCCTGTTATCCTCTCGTTTCTCAGAGCTTCTCTCTCCTCCCATCTGTAGCAGAGTAACACAAGCTGTCTCTCACAAGTTGTTCCTAATCCATCAAGTCTTGATGGAGAAGAAAGACTCCTCAACTCACAGAGCAACCTCCCTCGCCCCCAGCCCTCCCTGCTCAGAGCCTCCCTCTCTGCAGACATGAGGAGTGCAGGCCCAAACCCACTGGATTTAGGATGCTCCTGGATCAGCTTCAAAAATCAACACAGATCCTTTGAACTTCACATAGCCTGTGAGTTTATACCCAGCTGAGAATTGCAGTAATAAATACACCTTCCCAAAAAAGCCTGGCACGGAGAGACAAGCCCTCCTTGGCCAAGAGGGCTGCAGGAGGGCACAGAGCCCTGGGACCCACACCAGCTCAACAGGACAGGTAATGGGGCAGCAGAAAGGAGCTTTGCAAGAGCCTTTGGTTTGGTGGCTCCTGGAGGCTTCCACTGTACCTCTGGAAGGGGATCCTCAGAGACAGCAATGACTCCAAGTGTGCTGCAAGAGCGCTTGGCAAACTTGGAGACGTGCATCTGCTTCGTTAAAATTTGATCCCCAAGTTCCTCTCTCTTTTTCCTTCCTAGAGTGTTTTCAAACATTGTTTTCCTGCATACCTGGATAACCAGTGCTGTGCAGGGATTTAGTTAAGGTAATTTGAGAATTCTTTTATATTGAAAAGGTATAATAAGTAATCCCCTGAAGTACTTGATTTTCCTTCCACATCATTCCATTGTAACCACCTACTTCTGTTTTACCTCGTTAGTATTCTGAGGGGCTAGAAAAGAACTATTACAGTTCAGAACACAACAAAACAGGTCTGGCAGGCCCTGGGGGATACAGGGCAGAGCAGTGTGGGGCCCCAGCTGAGACCCAGGAGAGCTGAGCTGCCCTCCACAGGCAAGGTGATCATAGGCAAGCTGCCCCATGTTAGGAAGTTTGCCTCCTGACTTTTCCTCTGCCTTGACTTCTTTGGGGCAGGAAAAGTTCCTCTGCCCTTGAACACTGCTCAGCAAAATGAGTGCAGATGTAATGCAAATGAACAGCAGCAGAAAGAAACTGCAATTGTAACAAAATTGTCCCAAATTTGTTTTTACAACACAGTAAAAGAGGAGATGGGAGTGCCCAGGTCTATGTTTAAGTTAGCATAGTTAAGTTTGTGTGTTGGATGCAATGTTGCAGAAGCAAAACTGCATTTCTGTAAGCCCCTGAGAGAGACAGAGAGTTTAGCACAGCACAAAAGCCCACTATCATAATTAAAACAGAATTCCAGCTCATTTTCCACTAGTGCAACCGAGGGAGGATACAGCCTCAAACACAGGTCCCTTAGATAACCTCACCCAGTGGCAGAGGGTAAGCAACCTTTCCTGACTGAAACCCTCCAGCTGTGTATTCCCCTCTTGAAGGCATTTCCCTAAGAATGTCCCCACCCTCACACCTCCAAGTCATGTGTGTGGGTGTGTTGGGGCAGCCCTTGCTGAGAGAAACTGGATCAAACACATAGAAATGTCAATGCACACAGATCTCTTTTCTGTTTGCTTGCGGAGTCTTCCTGACTTATGTGTACCTGTCACACCCTGGCTGAGAAGGATGTGATTCACCTGCTGAGAATTCACTTCCAGCCCTGTGCCATCCATACAGAATTTGAGTTTCAATCCACTTCTCAAGCAGCCAGCACTATGGGTGTTCATGAAGTGTTACTCCCTCCTTCCATACCCTGAGGTCACCAAGGTGGGCACTCTCGCTCCCACTACAAAATATCTTTATATATTATGAGCACAGTTCACTGCTTTACTGGACAGCAAACTCCACATAAAACTGCTGTGCTGATTTCAGAGCTAAAAGGTTTAACATTCATTTCCAAGCAAGACAGTCCCCATCGAAGTGAGACACCAGGAAAAGCCTTGATCATCTGCAAAGCAGAAGGGAAAAGCCCCCTTAGACACAGCTGCTGTCTAACAACCATGTTTTATGCAGAATGCTTGGGGGCTACTCTATTTTTATAGCTTTCATCCATAAAATAAGAAGCTAAAGCTTCTGGAAAGAGAACACAATTACCCTACAATGATGTAGCACCAGAATAAATTCAACACAATCTGTGTAAGCAAAGAGAAAAAGCACCCAAGCTTTTTCTAATTGGCAGTAGATAATACTTTATAACTGCCCTGTCATCAACCTTCAGAAGCTATCTCCAGAGCCATATGTGGGTTGGCAACCAGGCATAGTGGCTAACCAGCTTTGGATCTAGTTGTACAGAAGTAGAGACATATGGAAATGAACAGCCTGGCAGAACAAGTGAACTCTGAAGCAGTGACTTCCATAAATAAGTGTCTGCACGCTGGCAGATGGAGAAAAGTGCAGTTAGGGAGGGACTGTGTTGCAGCAGCAACTTGATTTTAAACAATTCGTAAAAATCAGCCTGAACTTCAGATCTGAGGCATTTCCAGTGGCTTCAGTCCTCTTCTTGTTGGGGAAAATCCTCTCCATAAAAACAGGGAAGGTGAATACATTTAGCAAAAGACACCAGGAGCTGCTTCAGGGAGCAGAGAACAGGACTGAGAAGTCACTGATAATTTTTGCCTCTTACTGCTCTGCTAATGATGCTTGTGGTACCTCTCAGAAAGACACAACCAAGCATTCCCCACAGCCTGGAAAAGCAACAGTGGAGAGACACTCTCAAGCCACATGGCATCACCTGAAACACAGGCACAGAGGATACAGGAATGTGGGACACACACACACCCCTTCCCTGCAGAGAATGGGAATTTGTGCCTCTTGCTGCCTTCTGCACTCGTTCCTCTGGGGATCAGTCTTTTTTTCCTCTTACCATAGCTGAAACAATTTTTTGTGTACACCCTCTAACCCTACTTGACGTGATTATTGTGATTTGGAAGAACATCAATTTACTTAAATTTTAATTTAATTAAATTTAAATTAAATTTATTCAATTCAAACTAGTTAACCTTCACTAAACTCTCTCAAATTTGGGTCACCTTTTACTATAAAGGAACTCCCTTTCTGTTCCTGACACTGGATCAGTTGATATTAGAGGTATGATCTCACTGCTTGGTTACCACCTCAGATCTCACATGGCTGTCACTGGTCCAAGGTGCCATAGGCACACACAAAGTGAAAATTATGGAGGATTACCTCTGCACTGATGCCACTCTGTAAATGTTTGGCATCAAATCATAACAGCCACTATCAAATCAAAAGAGTGAGGAACAGATGGGGAGGAGGCTGTGGTGAGAGAAAGGACTCAAACAGGAATATGGATTTTCTCTCCCACCTTCCCTGGTCTGGTATCAGCCCTAAATAAACCAGCAAAACAGTTGCTGAATCCCCAGTTTGTTTTTTTCTTCAGTAGTAAAAGATTAACATTACAGCTTGAATTAAGATTTTGCAATAGGTGTTGTGGGAAATTCACTTAAGGCTGCAGATTTAATGTAAGATAGTAGTGGCACGTGTTTATCACAAACATTTTCACCAAAATAATCCAAAAATTTAAACAACTTCCAAGTAACTCAATGCAAAAAGCAGGCTCCAGATTGACACTTGTAACATCATTGTGAATAACCCTAGTTCAAAAGCACCTTTAAAGTGGGTAACTTATGGCCTTCTACACTGCAGGATCTTGTTATTCTTTGCAAACTATTTTCTTAGTACTGAGTACTCCTTTTTAGTACAACACTGAATACTTAAACACACCTAAAGCCAGCTGTAAAATGTTGTATCAAGGGTATTTTGTGACCCAAACATAGCAGGGTCAGCACCTGGGGAGTGACATGGAGGACATTTTTATGAAGTGACATGTTTATCTTCCTGGCAGTGTGGGGGCAGACAATTGATGACATAATCTGGCAATGCATATCCAGAAGGGCTGAAAACCAATATATATATATATATTAACATATATATTAACAGTGAACAACAGAAGAGCCTGAAAACCACCCTGTGTCCAGCCCCAGATTTCACATGAGAGCTCCTTCCTTCATAAGGTAATGAACTCCACCCCTCATTAACAATGATTTGGAAAGGCACTCAAGAAAAACACTCTGGTTCACATATTCACAAGTCATCTATAACACTGCAAGCAGCCAAAATAGTGTGCATTTCAAGAACCACCCAACATTCTTGGAAACAAAACCAGGCCTGAAAAAAGCCCAACATAAACAAAAAAAGAAAAGCCATAAACAAAGAAAAGTTTAAAAGTTAGTTATGAAAACGATAAGAAATGATTAAAAAAGCCCCCACCATGAAGCACATACCTTAGCTATTTGGACACACCAGTTCAGCAGGAGCTGGGAGCCAATATTATCCTTGTGTTCATGGACATAATCCAGGAGGCAGCCATGGGGCATCAGCTGAGTGACCAGCTGGATGGTGGGGCTCAAGCAGACGCCCAGGAGTCTCACCAGGTGTGGGTGGTCCATGCTGGCCATGATGAGAGCTTCCTGGAACGATAAAAGTGACCCAAACGTTACCCCAGCGTGCTCAAAGATGCCCAGGAGTGACTAAAGGGGGATCAGGGTCCCCTGAGCACCGTGAATTCCTGTCTATCCATTTCTAGGCTCCAGTCTGATGGAATGCCCATGTGATATTCTGAGTCCCAAAAAAACCAAAGAGTCTGCACAAATCTAAAATCCTACACTGCCCTGAATTCCCTGTCCTGTTGCAGGCACAAAGACATAGGTGTGACATATTTACAATCTCCTTGGTCTTCTTTTGCTGCCTTTTTGGGACTACCTAAAAACAGAGGCCAAACAAAATTAAGGGAATAAAAAGTGGGTATATTTATTGAAAAGCCTTCAGGTACATTTAGGGCAGATGAAGCTCCCCCAGGGGCTACACTCAAAAAAAAAAGGATGATGGGCCATGTGTTTTCACACTTTTATAAGTTTGGCTCATTTGCATATTGGGGGTTAATCTTCCCAATATGTGAGGCTGCAGACAATGAAGTCATTTACCCCAAGTTTGCTTTCTAAATCTGAGCCTCTTAGCTCAGTGAGATTGTTCCATGACCTCTTCCATCAGATCTTGGATGAGTTCATTTTGGTTTTTTTTCCCCACTTTAGCTTTTCACTCAGGAAAGGCTTTATTTCCCTTTTCCAGACTGTAAGAAGTTTACAGCTACCATGCTGGGTTTCAGCTACCAAGCTGGTCCAGGACCAAGGACCAGAAGGTTTAATCTTGGCTATGCTGTGTGACCCTAAAGTTCACAGCCTGACCTTATAAAATCCCTACATGATTGTTCTTAGAGGTAATGCTGCCATCACAACTAACTGGCATTCAAATGTAGCAAGGACCAAGCTCTTCTCTCTCATTCACCGAGTCCTCCATTTCAAGACCACTTCATCATGGCAATGGAACAATGAAAAGTGAGTTGAAATCGTGCCTTTGTAAGGCTATTTTGGCTGTCTTCTTTTTTTTTTCCTCAAAAAAAACCCTAATATGACATCTGACAACTTACAGCTGTAATAGTGCCAAAGAAAGAAAGAAAAAAATAAAAAAGATGAGACAAATTTGCCACCAGAGGAACATAAAAGTTGGGGGATTTTTTCCCTTCTCTATATTAAGGCAAAATAGAAAAAAAAATTAAAAAAAAAAATAAGTTCTGGCAACAGGCTGAGTTTGTATTAAAAGAAATTGCTCATCATAGTACAAAGAATATTTGAAACCAAATTGCAGATATTTGCATAATAGTTCTTTTACTTTCTTTCCCCCCTCTCTTTTTTTTTTGGTAAAACAAAAAGATGAACAAGACACTAATTGTAGGGTTTTTTCCCTCCCAATAAGAAAAGAGCAGATGGTCCTCACTGTGGGGAGTGACTCCTTCCCTTTTCTCCCTCAATGTATGTGAAGAAATAAATAAATGAATAAATAGGGGCTATTTGATGGGATAATGGAGGAGCAGATCTGAGAAAGATTCTGATGCAACAAATTAGAAAAGGGATCTGAATTTAACTACTTTTGCTCACATTCAAATTGATACATTTCCCACTCACTTAACTCTATGGGGACTCCTTGAAACAATTTTAGCCTTCCTTCTGCTGTGACTTGAAAATGTCCCTAAAGGCCACCAGAATAAATACCTGTAGACAGGTGAATTATCCAGTTTCCAGAGCACAAAATTACTCTGCCTCATTTTTTCCTTCTTATTCTATTCATTTTTAATCCTGCAGTTGCATACAGGGATAGCACTTGCTGCCCACTCTGACTAAAGGTAAGAGTTTCCCCACGAGCTTGGAGCTGGAGTACTTTTCTTTATAATCTGGACTGATTAGAAGAGAGATGAGATATTCTTTTTTTTTTTTTGTCTTCCAAGGGCCCACACAGAAAGCTTTGAAGCTCTTGTCCATTAGTCTCCAGCCACTTTCCATTGCCAAGTCTATCTGTGTCCAAAGGAAAACCACTTCTGTGCAATAATCAAAGCAAGTAGTGCTATTTGTCTCATTCTGTTGTTACAGGAAAGCACATGCTTTTCCAATAGTTCTGGGCAAGAGTTTCAGGGAAAAAAGGTAAAAACATATTAATAAAAACAAAACTAACAAAAAACAAAAATATTTTTTATAAAATATTATGGACATCTCCATAATGAATTAAGGCACACACAAAGAGCAAGGAAATCTTCATTATAGATCTAAGCCACTAGTAGATACTAATTTAGTGTGAATCCTGGCTTCACATAGTTATCCCCATTAGTAAAACTATTGTTATTTTTAATGAACTTCCATCTACATAGGAACTAAAATCGGGGCTGTATATCCAGCACAGCACAAACACAAAATAAAAGAGATTGAAATTGTTCTGCTAGAGCCTACTTAGACAAAACAGACAAACAACAACAAGAGCATTATGACTTAGCAGTGTTTTAAGAATTGGTTCAGCAAACAAGGAATACAAGTCTCCAGTTTCAAACCTGCTAGGACATGAAAAACCCTAGAGCTGTAATCTTTGTGGCACTTTGACACTCAGCAGCCTGGTTCCTAATATAATTCCTGAAACATTTTAAGCAGGTGAGGCACCTAAACTCATAAACTTGGCTGGTGGCACTGGCATCTTTCAAAACCAAACTCTGCAATTTGCTGGACCTTTTGGTAGCTGTGTGTCTGCAGCTCTTGTCTCTCACTCAATTACACAATTACAGGAATGAGTTTGAAATTCTAATTTAATGGAGAAGAAACTGAGGTACCAAAAGGGTACAACCTTTTATCCAAAGTCACATGGGAAGCCTGGAGCACAAGTGGAAACAGTGCCCCAGATCACTGCTTTTGTCTCCTGAAAAAAATCATGTCCATCATTCCTCTCTTCTGCCCCTTCTCAACGAGGTTACATTCCTGCTCAACTCCTGGGATTAATACACACAAGCCTATATTCAACAGCAACATTAGACAATTACATAAATGCTATTTTAATGTTCACACTTATCTGCCTGCCATGGACACTAAATAAGAAGGCAGCAGCCCAGAGAAGGTTGAGTTTGCAGGTCCCAGTGAGCAACCACCAGAGCAAATGAACAGAGATATTAAAAAAAATAAATAATCTTTCTATACATCCATGCTCCAAGCACAAAGTAAGGTGAATGCTTGCAGAGCTACAGGTTCATCAGAGGCTGTTGCATGGAGGTGCAGCAGTGCACATCTAGGTCCAGATCCTGCCTTCACACTCACCTGGCCAATTGCTTCTTCTACAGGGAAATGCTGAATTTGGCTGGCACGGCAGGAAATAACTAGAGGTCCAAAATCCCTGTCATTGAGGGGGTTTAAAGAGCTGTTAGCCAGAGTTTTGCACTAACCATCATCTCCTTGAAACTCCCTCCATGCCTGTTTTGCTTTGGGAAGCCTTGTTAAGCAACCTGTCTGTGTAACCAAAGAGGGAAGGTCACACCATGAGTCTTGTTTGCATTTCCCCAGAGCCAGGACAAACTCTTTGGATTAAGAAGGTTGCAGGTTTTGAAGGGGTGGTTTTGGACTTTGTATCTTTTGGATGTAAGAGATTTGGGCTTTTTTGTGTTCAGTTTTCAATGAGAACCTTAAGCACAGGATCACTGGAGTCAGACTGGAGTACAAGTGTGCTGCACCATTAAGTGGTGAGACTCAGTCATTCAGAATGTTCTGGAAGTCCATCTGTCTGGTGTGCCACTACTTTAGGATTAAAAACTAAGAATAAAAAATAAAACAGAAATTAAATTCCACTTCAGGAACCACACCCTGCAGTCTCATGCACAAATGTGATGGAAACAGCATCAGACAAGTGCCACTCACTTGACTTCAATCAAGCCAGTGCCACCAGGAGAAGATGGCCCCAGGCCAGTGTCCTGCAGCCTGGTGAGGAGCCAGGCATGGCACAACACTGTGCTCTTACTGCCCACCATCAGAGCTGCTCTCTGGCTGCTCTCTCACTGCTGAGAGCCTTTTCTGTATCTTTAAATGTGCTGCATCTCTGAGAGCAGGCAAACCCTCTGAGACTGCCCTGCCTGTCACAGCACTTGCACAGCACAGAGAGTACCAGTCTGACTGATTCCTCACAGGCACTGCCTGCATTGTTGACACTGAATTCAAAAGCCAGCCATTGCCCCATGTGATTCAAATGCTTTGGAGAGATGCCCCACTTTCCTCCAAACACTCGAAACTAGCACGAATCAGGGATGCAAAAGCTCTCCCTCTTGAAGGTCGTACTTGCAGACACTGGGTCAAACCTTCCTGCCCACCTCAGAGCAGCAGGTCCTATTCATGCAGGAATTGACACCTTTGTGCACTTACAGAAGCAATTTTGGCTCACTCTGCATTTTGGAGCAACATAAAATAAATTAGGATATAAAGCAGCACTGTGATCCCTGTCCTGCAAACACTGAGGGCATGGGACCACGTGCTGACTCCAGCAGGGCTCAGGTGATGAGAATTAATGCTGAAATGCTTGAAAGTGTAGGAGATAAATTTTGTATTGTTTCTTCAGCAGGTTTCTTCTTCCTGCTTTGTGCCAATCAAGTTTCCCAGTTCATCAGAGCCTGAGTTAACAGAGGAGGAACTTCAGTTCTAAAGCAATAGGCCTGTAGTGCACAACAAACCAAACTTAGGTTTTCCACCAAAGATCTGATCAGGGACAGCTCCCACCAGCATTTCTGTGAATCCTGCCCTGAAAAAATGATCACAGTGATGAAAAAAAGCCAAATCTAGCCTATTTTCAGTTCACTCTTATGCATAATAGCCCAGGACCTCAGGAACCTGAATTGTTCTCACTGAAAGTTGTCAGGACAGGTAACAGAGGGATTCCCCCTTTGGAGATCAGCAGGAGGTGATTTAATGGTAAAAATATTGTGGCATTGTGACAAATGTTCTACTTACAGCCTGTGACACACATCATTATTTCAGAGCAGTCTGTCCAAAGTGATTTGTTTCTCACCATTTTGGTGCAACTAGCAAAAATATTTGAAGTTGTAACTGTGCAGTCTAAC